ATTAATACAGTACAGTATTTGGATACATTATGAAGCTTTTAAGAAACTGTCTAGTTTAATTCTACCAGATTTTGCAGAAGTAGAGTTTTTTAATCAAGGTTGTTTCTGGACCATGCCAAAGTTAAATGGAAGAGAAGGCATTCAGGAGGCAGTTAACACTTAATTCTCCCCTGATGTAAATTACATTCAAGACATGGATGCTATAGAATAAAGGATTGTATCAAAATTAGAACTTTTAAGTCATAATGTGATTAAAATGGAAATATTTGAAAGTGGATTGTTTTAGTGTATTTACTTTTTGTAAGCTATCTTGGGAGAGCTTGACTCTGAAAGTTGGCGTATGCATTTCTTAAATAAGTATACATAAATCCTTACCTGAGAGTTCTTTGCAAATAGTACTGATTGTGAGTGTACTGCTACTACTACTAAAAGGTAACGACAGTACCCCTGACCATTAGGTCCAGTCATGGACGACTCTGAGGTTGCGGCGCTCATCTTGCTCTATAGGCCGAGGGAGCCGGTGTTTGTCCACAGACAGTTCATGTGGCCATGTGGCCAGCATGACTAAGCCGCTTCTGGCAAACCAGAGCAGTGCACGGAAAAGCCATTTACCTTCCCACCGGAGCGGTACCTATTTATCTACTTGCACTTTGATGTGCTTTCGAACTGCTAGGTGGGCAGGAGCAGGGACCGAGCAATTTATATACTGTTATTCACAAAAACCCACCAAAATGGTTTACAACATAATAAAAACCATGTAAAAATAAATATGCTGTCCTGAGCAAAATATTCTCTGAGGTAGGTTAGACTGAGTACAGTGGTACCTCGCAAGACGAATGCCTCGCAAGACGGAAAACTCGCTAGACGAAAGGGTTTTTTGTTTTTTGAGCTGCTTCGCAAGACGATTTTCCCTATGGGCTTGCTTCGCAAGATGGAAACGTCTTGCAAGTTTGTTTCCTTTTTCTTAACACCGTTAAGACAGTTGCGACTTGACTTCGAGGAGCAACTCATAGCACGCGGTGTGGTAGCCTTTTTTGAGGTTTTTGAAGACTTTGGTGTTTTTTGAAACTTTTCCAAAACTTTTCCGAAACCGTGCTTCGCAAGACGAAAAAATCGCAAGACGAAAAAACTCGCGGAACGAATTAATTTCGTCTTGCGAGGCACCACTGTATATGACTGACCCACAGTCACTTAATGGGTTTCACAACTGAATGAGGATTCAGACTCCCTGGTTCTAGTCAGATGCTACCCACTAGACACGGGCCTTTGCCACAAACTGTTTGGTGGAGATGCCTGCAAGAAATAGTAATTTCAATTTGGGGGGGGAATGCAAAAACGACTTGGAGGGGGTAAAATAGGGAAAGAATGAAAAACCATTTCCTCCCTTAAATTTTCTATTCCCCGCCCTGAGCCTTCCCATCTCTAGGTAAGTGGCAGTGACATGCGGCACTGGGAAGACAGGAGAGCAATGCAGGCCTGCCAGATGCTACTTTCTTCAAGTACAGCAGGGGGTCAGTGAATGCACTTCCCTGACTTCTGCAGAGCTAGGAACAAACTGCCTGCCCTTGTAAAGTTGGGGAGAGGAGCCAAGAATAATATGCAGATGAGATGTGGATCACGTCAGAATCATTACTCTTACTAGATTCCATGATGCTGTGATCTGAGGAATATTTACTTCTTCCTTATTTTTTCAGATAATAGCTGTCTGGAAGCAATTGCATCATTGTATTTTGTAGTTAGCAGCCATATATGCCACTACTAGAATCCTATTTGTTTGTTTCTATACTTTCTTATCAGGAGTTTTCTATTTAAAGCCATATATAACATTTTTCTCTCTTCAGCGCACGCTTTTATGTTAAATACTGTCATGTGTTGATGGAAGTGGGTTAAAAATATTAGAAGGTTCCAGGTCAGAGGCAAAGAAGATGCCAGATGTACTGAAATAGCCAGATGATTAAGAACTAAACTAGTATTAAGGTCATGGTCTGAATTAAATAGGGGAGAGATTAATGCTTGCAATAATTCAACTGTATGCCAGATGGTGGCCTTAGTAATTTTAGTGATGCCACAAAAATATTTTGTTAGCATTTACAACTTTTTATTTAGGTATTTTGGCCACCATTTACAAGTTGATCTGAGACAGAAAACATCTAAGGGCTATAACATGCATTATGTAAATTAAAACACACACCACTATCTGGTGGAACGCTCTGTCACAAGAGACTAGGGCCCTGCGGGACTTGACATCTTTCCGCAGGGCCTGCAAGACAGAGCTGTTCCACCAGGCCTTTAGCCAGGGCACAGCCTGACCCCCTTCCTTTGGCAATCCTCACAGAACTCTAGCCCAATGGTTGCCATTAATCTGATTTGAATTGATTTTATAATGAAATGATTTTAGAATGTTGTATCATTTTACTGTTGTTAGCCGCTCTGAGCCCGGCTTCGGCTGGGAAGGGAGGGATATAAATAAAATTTTATTATTATTTAAGGCTTATTAACTTTAATTTAAGCATGGATGCATTTATACACATGCAAAGTTCTTAGGGGAGAGTAATTTGAAAAAGTTAAGTTTGAAAGATTCACAGTTGCAATTGACTGTTGTATTCATTTTTTATATTAATTTTACCAAACTATCCCCTTTTGGTAATACAGTTGTACATCAGCTCCCGAACACCATGGGAGTCGAACGTTTCGGCTCCCGAACAATTGAAAACCAGGAGTGTTCCAGTTTTTGAACATTCTTTTGTAAGTCTACTGCAGCTTCTGATTGGCTGCAGGAAGCTGCAGCCAATCAGAAGCCGCACTTTGGAAGTCAAATGGACTTCCAGAACAGATTCTGTTTGACTTCCGAGGTACGACTGCAGAAGATTTTCCAGCTCACATCACTGGTAGGGAGGCAGATTGCTAAGGTTTCCAAGTCCATGCAAGGTTAAACCAGTTCATTAAATGTGTGTTCCAGAAGCCAGTGTCTAGAAGGTCAAGGCAACTGATGCTCAAACTTCTTAACTTCTCTCGGTAATCTTCTGTGCTTCTTGAAGGGATGTTGGGATTCTTGAAGGGTATCTCAGGATATGTATATCTTAAAAACCTTAGCGTAAAGCACTTAAGACACTTTTCTGTTGAAGATCTATGCTTCAACATATAGATCTTTTGCATAATTCAACCTTGTTCGTGATGCTTTGACTTTGGGCTGCCCAAAAACTTGAACATGGGTCCGTGGGCTCCTTTGGGAGGTGGGGCAGGAAATAGTAGTGCTAGTGGTAGTGCTTGTAGTAGTAGTTATATACAGTGGTATCTCGGTTTACGAACTTAATTCGTCCTGGAGGTCCGTTCTTAAACCGAGGCGCTCTTTCCCTAATGAGGCCTCCTGCTGCCGGTGCCCTTCCACCGTTCAGATTCCATTCGTAGACCAAGGTAAAGTTCGCTAACCGGAACACCACTTCTGGTTTTGCAGAGTCCGTATACCAAATAGTTCATAAACAGGGCTGTTCTTAAACCGAGGTACCACTGTACTTGGTAATACTTTTCAACCCAAATGTTCCTAACCACATGCCTTTACTTTACAAAAAAACCACAAAAAAATAAAAATGGAATGCTGTCCCCATTGGGTGACAAAATAGCTTCACATAGAATTGTTTTTAAAAAGAAGAAAAAAAGTTATGAAACCGAAGTGTACATTCTTAATGTATATGTGAAATATGGAAATGTTAAAACAAGACAGACATTTCTAATTAATTGAATAGCCATGCACTTACTATTTTAAGGAAGCAAATTGTGTCTTAAAAACCATGATTTCATATTTTTTTTTAAAAATTGGGTGTTAACATGAAAGGAATAGTTTATGTGTCTAGAGACCTATTTCTATTTAATGCATGTTAGGGCAAAATAATGTTACTGTGCCATGCTGGCCATTAAGTGGTTTGGCATTTCCTTCCTTATTTTAAAATAAGGAAACATGTTCCTGTATGAGGTACCTTAGAATAGATATCACCTATGATTCATTCTGGTATAAGTAATAGGTGCAAAATGGCAACGGAGAGTAGTACTTAGGATTAAACACCAGACATATTTTGGACTTCTGTTGCTATTCCAGAAGAACTGCAAAAAATAGAATAAGGATGTCTAGGTAGAATAAGCTTGAGATTTTGTATTAGTTACAACTTGATGCATCTGTTTGTGAAAGTGTATTGACTTTGCCACTGTATAGTTAATGGCACATCCAGTTCTAAGCATGTATATGTTCATTATTGGCCTAGGGGATAAGCAGGCTAATAAAATTAGGAGGGTACACTAGTCACTCTTGCTGATTACAGGCTGGATACGGCAGTTACTACCATGTAGTGCTGCTGTCTACTCTCCTCATTCATGTCAACTTGGCATATCTTTACCGAAAGTGAAAGGTATTGCTTTGGCTGCAGTGATGCACATTACTATATTTTGCCTGCATAGTATTAATAAATGGCAAAGCCTTAGGTGCATAAACTTAAGCTGTTAAGATTCTAAATTAATGGGCAAAGTATACATGACTATCACCATAATCTTACAGTTAAGTGTGCTTAGCACAGAAAATGACATGCATCACAGAGCCATCTGTTTTTCAGAAATGAGCTGTCACTGAACAGAGCTATGAAATAGAAGGGTTTTCTGATTAAAATATAACTTGATGGGAACCAAAGATTATATGCATGGGTAGAAGTGCCTTTTTTTCTTGTACAATTTGCCCATCCAATTCTGCTGACTCCCCCTTTCTACTGCAGGCCACTCATGCCTCATCTTTTCAGGGAAAGTCCCCCAAATCTCAAAAACAGTTTTGTCCAGGTGCAGGGGGCTCCAGTGGGGAGGTGGATGGGTGGGAAATCCCCATTATGCAGCAGAGCTCTGCTCTCACTTTGGGGCCAGGCAATAGATAATAACATGAAAATAAGTTAAGTCACCTGTAACAATTATTTAGTACTGATGTATGCTTAAAATGCTTTATTAAAAAATGTTCAATTTTACAGATGCCTTTGTAAATAGCCAGGAGTGGACACTAAGTCGATCTGTGCCAGAACTCAAAGTGGTAAGTAACATTTCAGTACACTACTTTTAGTTTGTTTCTTAAGTTATTTGGTTTAATGCATGTTGACACTGCAAATGAAAGATTTGTTTCTTTCACTCATTTAGTTGAACTCCTACTCTGAATGGCTCTGTACCATGTCAGGTTCTAAAGCTTTCAAATGTAACTCAGGAGAAAAATATGTTTATGTTTGGGTTGACTACTTGGCACTGATACCTTTCCTGGTATCAGCGTCAAGCTCACCAGCCTGTTGTTTCTTGGGTCTTATCCTCCCCCTTCTTTTGAAGATGGTGTAGCACTCTTGTCAAAAAGCTGGAAGTGGCCTTTTCTCTTCCTTGTGGCCAGGTGAAAGATCTTGCTGGTCTTTGCTTTCTCTTTAAAATAATATTTGCTTTTTTGTGTTGCGAAAGCTGGAGGTTGTGGGTTATTACAAACTATGGTCAATTTTATTTAAAATCATTGGTTATGAAGCTGGCCTTTTTAAAATGAGAATGATTGATAAACCCATTCTGGTCATACAGCACAAAAAACAGTAAATGTGAAACTAAATACTGGCAAAGTTGTCCTCTCTGATGTGCAGGAGAGGGGAGGTGGAAGTTCACAAGCCTGAGGTTTTGCTCTGGCTTGTTCTAGTTCATGCATGTAGTGCTAAGCCATGGTTTAGCGCAGCATTAAAACATGGTTGAATAAGAATGTTTTTCTTATTTTCTGAAGTATTCTATTTAGTGTAATATATAGTCGTACCTTGGAAGTCGAACGGAATCTGTTCCGGAAGTCTGTTCGACTTCCAAAATGTTCGGAAACCAAAGCACGGCTTCTGATTGGCTTCAGGAAGCTCCTGCAGCCAATCGGAAGCCCCGCCGGATGTTCGGCTTCCAAAATCCACCTCAACCTGGTATTTCTCGTTTGGGTTTACGGCGTTTGAGAGCCAAAATGTTCGAGAACTAAGCTGCTCGAAAACCAAGGTTTTGATATATTTTAGTTGGGATGAGTCAAGGCTCCTTTCAGGTTGAAGTACGATAAGTTTCTTATTCCTTATGTGTGGCTGGAGGGGACAGAACAAGGTAAAGCATATTGTCTCCAAACAGCCTGCTTATTTCTCTAATTATTGTTTCTACTTTGGTATTATTTGTTTTTAAATTTTAATTATAATATGGTTATTTTTGCCATCTGTTTTTGTGTACACATACTGAATATAACTGCATTGTTACTCTTTTTAGTGGCTCAACTGCAGTTGGGTTTTGATTGCTTCAGTTAATCTTAGTACTAATTGAAGGGTTTGTTCTGTGTTCCAGAAGTAACTGTTTGAGGAAGCTGCTTTTATAATGTCTGAGCCACACCCTGAGCTATTATGTATAAGAATAGAAAAAGGAGCTAATTATAAGTACCATTGCAGCATCCGTTAACTGTAGTTAATTATACCTAGTAGCCTATTAATGGAAATGAAGCTATAGTCATTCTGTCTTGCACAACCTCCGTTTTGCAGCAGTGTTTAATTTATATAGTTAATAGTTTAATTTAAATAGCTAAAATAAAACAAGCCAACTTCAAACTGTTTTTGAAACTGGCTTGTTATCTGAAGAAGTGTACATGCACATGAAAGCTCATACCAATAACTAACTTAGTTGGTCTCTAAGGTGCTAATGGAAGGAATTTTTTTTATTTCGTTTCATTTATTTTGTTTTGTTTCAGCTAACGCTGGATAATGTTAACCACAGTTCTGGATCCAAGCATGAACAAATGCTGAAACTAGAGCTTCTAAACCATGATTTAACATGGCATGAAAATGATAGTTTCTTCAGTGCAGAATATTGCATTGCAAAAATAGGAAAATGGGAATAAGATGCTGTAGAAAAAGTATAGATGTATTTCAAAGAGTGAGTCTACAATGTTACACTTTTGTCATCGTGTTGAATAAGAGAAATGCTTAAATGCACAATTCCGCAAATGCACTAAGGGTGTTAGGAACGCACGGAGGTGAACAAGTTACTCTGAAGTGGTACTTGAAGGTGGAAGCTAATTGGAGCTAGCAGGGGTCCTAGGCTAAAAGGAGAAATACCAGGTTGAGGTGGATTTCTTCCTCTTTTTGCTTTGTCAGCTTTCCAGGAACTGTTCAAGGGAAGCTTCTTCTGAAGATTGATCAGGAAATTCAGCTGGTACAGAATGGGCTTTTTCTGCAGTGGCTCCCCATTTGTGGAATGCTCTCCCAAGAGAGGCTCGCCCGGCACCTTCATCACATATCTTTATGTGCCAGGCAAAAACTTTCCTCTGTAATCAGACCTTTGGCTGCTTACATCTTTTAAATGTGTTGTGGGAGAGGGTGGGGGTGTTATTGGTTTGTTTTGGTTCTTGTTTTGATTAGGTATTTTGTACTTGTATTTTTTAATCTTGTATTTTTTATGTGGTGAACCGCCCTGAGATCTACGTATGGATGGAGGGTGGTTGTAGCAGACTCACCCCGCTAACTGCACCCAATTACATATAGCAGACCCACCGCACAGTACGCCAGTTAAACAAATTTGTACAATTAACACAGGCTAACTTGTGGGGGTCTTGTGAGAGGGAAAGTTTGATTCAGAGTTGATAAACAAGTTTTATTCACAAAAAAAGGGGTTTGGTGAAACAAAGTTGGGTCAGGAGGTGTGTTCTTTCAGGTAGAAGTTAAGTTATTACTTAAACTAAATAAAAATGTCACAGGCTTAAACACAGTATATGGACAGCTTTTCTTAAACTTCAGTTGCTCAGTAATCAGTTGTAACATTCAAATCAGAACTAATTCTCCCTCAGACAAACCCTGTCCTAATCCTTTGCTCCCATCTCAAATCCAGCCCTTATCCAACTCTCTCCCTCAGAAACGGCTCCTTTTATTTTCCCTCCCAAAGTGCTGGCTCCACCCCCTTCTGGCTGGCTGTCTTGGTAGCCAATCAGAGAGGTGCTCCATCCCTTTGGTGCAATTCCGAGGCACTGCGTCACCAGACACTGGTCTGGCTCAGCTGTCCGTCACAGCGGTATACAAATTAAATAAGTGAATAAATACAAGACTCTCCCAAGTCATGCCTGTCCAAATCTTATTTTAGTGAGGAAATCCCAGTCATTGAAATACTTGTGTTTTCCAAATCCTGTTATGGCCAGGAACTCCTCACCACTGTGAGGCTTTTCCTTCCTCAAGTATTGCGGTATCCAGGAAGCCTGCAGTACATTGTGAGGCCATGGTAAATGGTAAAGGACCCCTGGACAATTAGGTCCAGTCAAAGGTGACTATGGGGTGCGGCGCTTATCTTGCCTTCAGGCCAAGGGAGTTGGCATTTATCCACAGACAGGTTTCTGGGTCATGTGGAAACCAGATCATAACTAAACCACTTCTGGTGCAACAGGACACCATGATGAGTGCCAGAGCTTACGGAAGCGCAGGGATGTGGGTGGTACTGTGGTCTAAACCACTGAGCCTCTTGGGCTTGCCAATCAGAAGGTTGATGGTTCAAATCCACGCAACAGGGTGAGCTCCCATTGCTCTGTCCCAGCGCCTGCCAACCTAGCAGTTTGAAAGCACACCAGTGCAAGTAGATAAATAGGTACTGCTGCGGCAGGAAGATAAACGGCATGAGACCATGACTGCCCCTGTTTGTCTGTCTTCCTCCACACCTATGGGGAGGTGCATGTTGCCTCCTGGCCCCTGCAATCTTCCTGGCCCCACAGACTTTTGCTATGAGGTCAGGTGAGAGGTCTTTCTGAGGAGTCTCCCACAGGCTCAGAAGGGCCCATCTAATTCTGAATTGAGATAAGTGGTTTTCCATGTTAGTGCATAGAGGACATTTACTGCTTTAATTCAGAATAGCAAACATAAGTTTAGCTTAGTACCTTTTTCCCCTTGCCTGATTATGGTTCCTGCTTCTGATGTTATTTGAAAGGAGGGTGTTGGCTTGAGTATCTAAATTTAGTATTGATTTAGCATTAAAAGTAATTCATTTCCATTTGCAAATTTGTCCAGTGAGATCTCCGCTTGTAATAATTTAAAGTTAAAGTAAAAAAAAACTTTCACCTTTTATCTCCACAGGGAATTGTGGGCAACTTAGCTAGTGGTAAATCTGCCCTTGTACATCGATATCTGACTGGGACGTATGTCCAGGAGGAATCCCCAGAAGGTACAATGACTGATAGACCATTGGAAGCATGCTTTTATTAAACCTTTATGCTGTCTGTTAGCAACAGTATTTTGTGTGATATTAGCATACAAGGGTATTGTGTTAGAAATTGAAAACCTCCAGGTATAGGGCGGTATATAAATTCAATGAATGAATGAATGAATGAATGAAATTGGAATTTTGCATACTTGCCTCCACATACTCTTAAAAGGAGCAAGCTGGTAATAGCTAGCTTACCTTGTTTCACAAAGTGTACCCAGCTGCAAGAAGTCTGAATGCTAGCAGAATGCTTCCCATTCCCCATCACAACTACTCAGATTTTAGTTGTGAATTCTTCATGTGGGCAATATTCTTAATCTGATTTCATAATTTGCCTCTTAAACTATTTGTGAGGACATCAGTACCAACTCATATTTTAGTCCTTTGCCTTACTGAAGAGGTTGAGAATATAATTTGCATGTCACTTGTTCACTTTATTGTTCCGCTCAATTTTTAGAAACAGCTATAAAAATAAAAAAGTTGTTAAAACTCTGATTATGGCTAATTGGTTGATTTCAGTTGAACAAAGTGGGTTTAGGTTTGAAATTGTATGAATAATAGTAGCATCTAATTAAGGTAACACTCACAAAAATTAATATCCTGATATTTTTATTCTCCTTATGAACTTTAAAATGCAACTGAGACACTGAATTTCTGGTTCCTTCTTTTCCTTACTGGCTGTTCCATTCTTTGCAGATATGGATGCAGGTAACTATATGTCCTCTTCATAGCAGCACTTGTTTTGAAGAGAGGAAGCAAAGCTTTTGTACGAGTTTCCCCTTGTTTTGTGTGCCATTTTGTTTCCCTTTGATTTTAAGTTACAAACGCATCCCACTGTCACCTGCTGTAGATGTCTTAGTAATAGTCATACGTAGAGTCATGTGTCTGTAACAACATCTGTTTGAAATTAACATTTCCTAAGGTGCTCTTAACTTCTGTATGCTAACAATAGTTACAAAGGGAACCCACAAAAGACATTTGATTTTGACTCAGAGCTTTCTAACCCCAAAATCTCCCAAATCTTGCTCCAGTAGCCTTCGGCATCCTTTGTTAATAGGACAGGGCGGGAGAACAGTTAAGTCCATGCTACATTCATTGTTGATTCACTGACTTCACAAGTCAAGGCTAAAGTATGAGAGTGCTACTCCAGTGTTTACAGTTCTTTTCTGCCTGAGATGCCTCAGTGTGGTTTTGCATCCATAGAGCAAGTAGTAGCGCTGTATAAGAAGCCACAAGAAGAACGCTTTGTGCCTGCCCTCAGTTAAGCTGCAGAGCAGATCTGAGCTGGTGGTAGTATGGGGTTTTTTAGAAACTCTTAAAGCCCCCCGCCCCCCCCCCCCCATTTTAATTGAAAGAGAGCTTTGCCTGTTTAAATATAGATAACTGCAGAGTGATTATTCTGTGTCAATACTGAGATTCTTATCTGGATAATTGTTCCAAGGTCAGACCACAATATGTGTCACTTGCTGTTCACTTTTGCTTTCTTAATGAAAGTGCCAAAAATATTTGCTCAAAAGCCACTAAGTGAGGAAAACATATTGCATATGAGTTAGATGTAGAACCCCCCAACTCCCCCCAATTCATGATCTCTGATTAACCTTTGGGAAATGGGATACAGGAGAATCACTGAGTAAAACATATTTACACTTGCTGACTGCAGTACTGTACTGTGTGGCACAGTACTGGATAAAGCTCACAATTTTTAAAAATCATGTACTAAGGGACATGTTTATGGCATGTAGCACCATAGGTTGAGCTTGCTGGTAAAAGTGTGCATGTCATGGGGTATAGTCCTTCCCACTGCTAGCAGAAAGTATGAATGCATAATACGGAGCAAAGGAGGTGGAGTTACAGAATAAGCCAGCCGTGATGCAGCTTCTTTGCTATCCGTTTTGAACTAATGCCTTCATCACTACAAGATAGGTTATTCTTAGTTGTGCTATCTGTTTGCTTTTTTACTGGTCTTAAGGCAGGGCAGAAATTGAGGCGGGAATCTGTAGTTATTAGCTATCATGTCACTCTTATTTCTACACCTTTCCCCACAACTAGTTAGTTGATTGTTTTTCAATTTCTTTAGGAGAATTTGAAATGCTGTTATGATTCTCCCTGATCTGTCCTCACTTTTTAACCTTGAAAGGATAAAAAAATAAAAATAGTTGGGTCATGAAGAAAATATATAAAAAGAAAGTATGTTTTGTAAGCCAAATGTATGCATCTGAGGACTTATCTAATGTCTCTTAACATAGATAGAGACTTGTCAAACAATATATGTCTCCTAAAAGATTACTCTCTTCCATGTTGGCTATGGGAGTTATATTCCAACCCATCAGGAGGGCACCAGGTTGAGGAAGGCTGGCAAAAATCCATGGACAGAGAAAAGGTTTATTTGTTGCCAACACTTCATAATGTGATAATGCCTTGCACATCATTTTTCCAATATGGAGGTGATCTCTGTGTATGAAAAATGAAGGTGCCTAAATGTAATTGTGTTAGCTTTCAGATCCCTATAAACCTTTTTTTATGATGTCTCCAATGCATTGTAAAAATGAGAATGATTTGTAGTAGCTGAATATAATTGAAAGTATGTATATTTACATATATCTAATATCTGGTACCAGGTAAGGCACAAATCAGGGCCTGCGGCAGGGGAACAAGGAAAAATACCACTCCCCCGTACAAAGATTAAGCGAGATAAGGCCAGCTTGTAGACTCAGTTCTAAGATGGAGACTGCATGTTAAATTGGTCCCTCCCAATGCTACAAATGTATGGTTATTCATTGACTATTCTGGGGTAAAGAAGCAATCTTATTCCCAGTTTCTAAGCAACTAAAGTCTGAATTGTAACTTAGATCTGTCTTGCACTTTAAACAAACAAACTATATTGGTTCTTGGGTGTGTAGACTACCTTTTGCTTCTGCATTCTTGGATGTTTCAGAATATTTCAGAGTAACACTTGGGAGTGGGGTAGGGAATTTGTGTTATGATTATTACAAGGTTTGAGTAGTTTAGCAGCATAGCCACCCTACTGATTATTGGAAATTGTTGTATGTTTACTTTTGGCTTATGTTTACTTTTGGTGATAGGAGTGTTATAGACTGGTATCTGCCTGTTTTATCTGATCATTCTAACACTGAGTAGCAGTTTTAAGAATGCAGGAATTGTATATAAGGGCTACCACAGGACCAGTAAAGTATTTAAAGAAATAATTAGTATTGTTCCCAGGAACATAGTCACCAGCCATGTTCCTGGGAATGATGCTGTCATGATGCCACATCATTCCCATTGAACCATTCTGTCATACACTCTGGGCAGCTCCCAACAGAATATTAAAAATGTGATAAAACATCAAACATTAAAAACTTCCCTAAACAGGGCTGCCTTCACATGTCTTCTAAAAGTCAGATAGTTGTTTATTTCCTTGACATCGGATGGGAGGGCGTTTCACAGGGCAGGCACCACTACCAAGAAGGTCCTCTGCCTGGTTCCCTGTAACTTCACTTCTCGCAGTGAGGGAACTGCCAGAAGGCCCTCGGAGCTGGACCTCAGTGCCCGGGCAGAATGATGGGGGTGGAGACACTCCTTCAGGTATACTGGTCTGAGGCCGTTTAGGGCTTTGAAGGTCAGCACCAACACTTTGAATTGTGCTCGGAAACATACTGGGAGCTCTATTGCCAGTTCATTTTTTCATTAGAGGAAAGAAAGAGGAAACCTTCTTAATAGCTACTCTCATAAAGATTGGCTCACCACCCTTCCCAACAAATGAATAGATTTCACTGCCATCCCAAATGGTCAGACAACTTAGGTCCAATGCTAATTTCTACTACATCCTTTAAAAACCCTACGATTCCCAAGATGGGTTATAGAAGAAATCTTTAAAAAAATTAAAATACGTATGAAAGAAAACCTAAAAGTTGTAAAATACTTTAAATAAGCAGCATAAAATCCTTAGCCAGGTGCGGAGGAAGGGGGGTGCGGTAGGGGTGGTTCGTACCGGGTGTCACCACTGAGGGTGGGTGACAAAATGCCAGTTTAAACAAGCATCCTCATTTATAATGCATTATAGGAGTCCAGTGTGGAAATTACCAGAATATGAATAACTGAATCTAAGCTATCTCTCCAGATAGTGTTGCAAGTTGTGAAAGTTGCTCTGTTGCATGGAGACTACCCACAGGTATGCAGTTATACCCCAGGAGAATCTCCTAGACTGTGAAGCTTTAGGGTAGGAGTGGGGAACCTGTGACCTTCCAGATGTTGTTGGAATATAATTCCCATCTCCCCTGACCATTGACTATGCTTGTTGGGTCTGATGGGAGTTGGAGTCCAATCTGGAGTCCCAACATCTGGAGGGCCGCAGGTTCCCTATCCCTAGGTTTATTGGCTATCATCTAGTCTGTTAAAAAGCCCAAGCACTAATTCAGTAATTCCACTGTCTCACCTGTGTAGTAGTCCCCCAGTACTATCTTCTGGAATCTTCCACCCAAGCCAAAACTGAACAGCCACAATATGATATTCCCCCTCTCCTCTGTAGAAAGCCTGCCAAGAGGGAAGATATGGTCAGTGGTATTGAAATTTTCCAAGATGTCTTAGAAAATAAACAAGGCTGCATACTCCTCTTTCTCTTATGATAATCCCGTTCTGCTCCATTGCTAATGGTACATGGGGTCCCTCAAGGTTTCATTTTATGCCCTATTCTATTTGACATCAGCATGAAGTGATCTGGGCTAAAGTGATTTGGATGATATTTTGCCCTACCTTCCTTTCCGTCTGGTAGTTCCAGGAGGAGTGTTGAACTTCTAAATTGATGTCTAGAGGCTTTTCTGGGTTGGATGAGACTAAGGAAGCTGAAGTTTAATTAGGTAAGATAGAATTAAGATAGAAGATTCAGGTGGGGATCTTTGATGGGTTGCACTTGCCCTGAAGGATCAGGGTCAGTGTTAGAAACTGAGAGATGAAAACTAGGAGCTAAATGGCACCTTAAACCTAGGTTATGGGAGCAACAAGGGAGTGTCTAGGTGCACTTTTTTATAACTGCAGCTAAAATATTATGTTCAATTTTCACATGTTCTAGTCCTTCCCCTGCGCACCCTCTTAATAATATTCTTAAGAGGGTCTCTTCTCCAGTCTTCAGAGAGTAGCTGGAAGTGGGGAGGCAGAAAAAGGTCCATCTTTCATTTTACTCTGCAGTTTTAATCTGAAATCTTAGGCCCAGAGCTCAGAAACTACTTGTGCTAATGAAATTCCCTGTCACAAAAAGTGCCTGGAACAATGGGAGTTTGAACACTGACCAGGCTCACAGCTTGGGTATGTTTCTGGACTCTTCTCTAACTGATAAGTTCATGTGGTTATAGTGCCCAGAGCTGTATTCAACCAACTTCAGTGGTACACCAGCTGTGACCCTACCTGGAGATGTTGGACCTCGCCATGGTTACTCACACACTGGACATCAGCAAAGAGCTCTGCCCAGGGCTGCCTTTGAAGATGCCTTGGAAGCTACCACTGCCACACTCTGCAGCTCCCTGGCTTTTGTCTGGAGCAAGGTGATCAGATCAGATCAGATCTCACACTGATATTTTGCCACTTATACTGGTTGCCAGTGTGTTTCTGGGCTCAATTCAAAGTTCTGGTGATAACTTTTAAATCCCTGAACAATATTGGACCAAGTTACTTTAGGGACCACTTGCACCTATTTCAGCCTACTCATATCCTAATATCTATATCTGAAGCCTGTTGAGATGATCGCTGGTAAAAACTTTTGGGCACAAGGAACAGCACCCTTCTGAGGTGGCCGCCATTTATGGAATTTAATTGCAATCAAATTCTGTCACTCACTTTTTTAAAAAATAGCCCTAAAGACATAGTTGTTTTAGAGTGGCCTTTGGGGATTAAATGTGATGTTGGCAGTTGGATTAGAATGGTTGAGGCACATATCTAATGCTAGTTTTGACCTTTGTTAGTCTGTGCCCTGTTTTGCATATCATGGTAAGCTAAACTATGCTTACTGGGATGGCATGAACACTCTGGCTTCCAGAGATGAACTCACACCTGATCTCCTCCTCCCTGGTCCTTTTAGCTCAGCTGAGTATGGCAGCTAAGCCAATGTTTGGTTTAGCATGTTGGCTGAACCCAGGATTGTGGTTACACTCTCCTCTTTAACCACAGTTGATAGCCAATAACAAATCATGACAACAGGTTCATGAGGAAAGAGCTCAACTACGATACTAGTGGTAAGTTTAGCTGCAGTGCAACATCAAGCTGAGCTGAAAGGTCCAAGGAGGAACAAAGTGGATGTGACCTCCCCAGAAACCAGCATGTTTGTGCAAAGTCATGGGATGGCTTAGTGCTGCAAATGTTTTGTTGCAATCTGATTTAATAGTTTTACCGTTGTATTTTAATGGATTGACACTGATGTACTTTAGTGATTGCATACCACTTTGTGAGACTGTTGTTATAAAAAGTAGTATAAATGAATGAATAATAAATACAGTGGTACCTCGGGTTACAGATGCTTCAGGTTACATACGCTTCAGGTTACAGACTCCGCTAACCCAGAAATAGTACCTTGGGTTAAGAACTTCAGGATGAGAACAGAAATCGTGCTCCGGCGGCGCAGCAGCAGCAGGAGGCCCCATTAGCTAAAGTGGTGCTTCAGGTTAAGAACAGTTTCAGGTTAAGAACGGACCTCCGGAACGAATTAAGTACTTAACCCGAGGTACTACAGTAGTAAACAATTTTTTCAGCCACACAATCATTAGGAAACTAATTGGCAATAATACCTGTGTAAAAGTACAGACCTGTTTTAATTTTCATGTTTTGGCATCATCATAGCTGTCAACTTTTCCCTTTTCTTGCGAGGAATCCTATTCGGAATAAGGGGATTTCCCTTAAAAAAAGGGAAACGTTGACAGCTATGGGCATCATGACCTCTTTGTAAACCCTTTTGTGCGAAATGCTTCAGCATCCAAGAATTGATTTAAAAGGAAACAGCTCATTTGTACTGGAAAACGTTTGATGTAATTAGATACAGAGATCCTATCTTTAGAGCTTATGTTATGCTAACTGGTATGCATTTCATATCAGAGAAACAATATTGCCCTTCAAGTCGAAGAAACTCATGTGTCCTATGTTATAAAGTTGCAGACAACCACATAATAAAACCTGTTACTACTTACTGTACATGGAGTGTGTGTGTGTGCCTGTGCAGCTACAACTAATATATCTGAATAATAACACAAAAGTCTTACTTTGAACTTTTATTCTTGTGTCAAGTTGACAAGAAGCCTTTAAAAACCGCTTGTAAATGGTGTAGAGGTATTATTTATGATTTAGTGGGATATAATTATGTTAAATAGGGACATGAGTGGCCCTGTGGGTTAAACCACAGAGCCTAGGACTTGCTGATCAGAAGGTCGGCGGTTCGAATCCCCGCGACGGGGTGAGCTCCTGCCCACCTAGCAGTTCGAAAGCACATCGAAGTGCAAGTAGATAAATAGGTACCGCTCCAGCGGGAAGGTAAACGGCGTTTCTGTGCGCTGCTCTGGTTCTCCAGAAGCGGCTTAGTCATGCTGTACACCGGCTCCCTCGGCCAATAAAGCGAGATGAGCGCTGCAACCCCAGAGTCCGTCACGACTGGGCCTAATGTTGAGTGTTGAACACTTTGGAGCAGATTTTGAGGGCATGTAGAAAGGTGAAGTCACATTGTGCAAAAACACAGTGCATGCAGTGTTGGGTATGACCTTCAGTATTCTATAAAATAGATGGAACTTCACTAGAGGCATGAGTTACAGTTTGTTAGAATGCAAAAAGGATTATTAATCTCAAATCAAGCTCTCAACTCTGAGTCACAGATCCTAACTTTTTGCTCTTTGACTAGATGAGTTGTGCTTCCTCCCATGAACAGAAGCTCTTCCTGAGTGAAAGTTAAGGAACCAAGCTTATGTTAATATTTAGAGAGCTTTTTAGTTGCTCAAGCAAGGAGGCAAAGGGCAAATCATGTTGTGCCCCAGCACAACAGAATTTGCACAGTACATTTCATTTCTTTTACAGAAAAGTAATTTTATTGGGTTGTGTCCAGTTGTGTCCCTCTGTCCTACTGTTCCAGTGAAGGCATTAATTGGTGGAAAGGGTGGGGAAATGATTTTCACAGTTTTCCTCTTCAGACTCCTATGCACACACCTACACATCTGCCTAGAAAGTTGGGTAACCCTTTGGAATAATGTGGGATGTGGCATGATGAGTTGTAGAGAAAGGAAGAATTTGCAAAAATCACTCCCCCACACCACTCACATAAGTCTTTGTTGCATCAAAGTGGTTTACAATTGGTTGCACCCCCTTGTATTAAATTATTTCACTTCTAAAGAATATGGACATAAGAACACATTTTATCACATTTTACCCAAACACCAATTTATACATATATACATGAATTACAGATAGCATTGATTGCTGCATTCATGTTTGATCAAAGCTCTTCAACTCCACTTGCTACGTACAAATCTAAGAAGACACTATAAGCTTAATTGGTTTTTATTTTTGTTTATTTTTTTCGTTTAAAGTGAACTGTTCTTATAAGAGTAAAATAAGCTGCTTTTGGATTTTTTGCAGTAAATTCAGTTCTACAACAATGGGGGTATTATTTTTAACTTGCTACTTACTACAGTAGTACCTCAGGATGTGAATGGGATCTGTTCCGGAGCCCTGTTCACATCCTGAAGTGAACGCAACCTGCGTCTCCGCGGGTCGCGATTTGCCACTTCCACGCATGCGTGTGACACCATTTTGACCATCTGTGCATGCGCGAGTGGCGAAACCCAGAAGTAATGCGTTCCATTACTTCCGGGTCACCGCAGAGCACAACTCGAAAGCGCTCAACCTGAAGCGTATTCAACCCGAGGTATGGCTGTATATGGTATGCTGAAGTATGGCTTACCCAGGACGGCACACACGTGCTGTGTGCCATAGAAGAGCTTTCAGTATTTTGCTCCTCCCTGGTCCAAAGTGATGCAACAGCTGAGCCAAGGGTTGGTTTAGCATGTCATTCCAACCTGGTCTCATGGTTCTCAACTCATTAACGAAGAGCTTTAGGCAAAGTTTGTACTTGGTCATAGCTCATGGTTAAGGAGCAGAGAGCTTAATCATGAGCCCAGGTTTGGCTGACCCTAAGCCAAATGTTTACGTAGCTGCTGCACTGCAGAGAGCTAAAAGAACTGGAGAAGAGCAAAGCAACTGTGATGTTATTCCTGGGAGCATATATGTTCACACTAAGTCATGGATTGGATGGGAACATAACTGGTATGTGATACTGCGGCAATAATGGTTTTCTACTTAAAAAATATATATTTAAGGAATATTTAAGGAAATACGCAAAATACTTAATATCTAAATGGAAAAGTGATTTAAATGCTATGAAACTAAGGATACAATCCTATAAACACTTAGCTGGCAGTGTGTCTCACTAAGGTTAATGATAGTTACTTCTGAGTTGTCGGTTACCCTCTTCATCCCTGGTCAACATAGTCCAAACTATGTATTTACAGACTAATTCCCTGTTCCTTCAACATATGAAGGTCACATGAGTTTCCAGTGTAGGACAAGTGCCTTCACTTTCTGAGGCATTGTTTAAATCCATACTGAGACTTTCAGCAGGCCAAATTGGGTAATCCCTTCTTAGTCTATTACACTAGAAAGCCTGAACATGTTTTTGCATTATCTTCACTCTGTCATGTGAGAGAAAGGATGGTGCTTAAAATATTATTTGATTTCAGAGGAGTTACCACTGGATGTTTAAGCTTGAGGTACAGCTGTGCGTGTGGTTCCCCTGCCCCCTTTTCATGTGCTAAATACCCTCCTTTCAAAATAAATTCTTTGTGCAGATTAAAAATTCATAAACTTCGTCGTTTTCTAACTGAAACCTACAACAGATACTGTTATAGTAAATTTTCTTTTTTTGTCTAACACATGTTGTAGTAGTATAGTTTTTTCCTGTAGTAGTGAGATATCATTTTCATAATGTGTGTTTTGCTTTGTAGAACTAGGCTTCTCTTGATGAAAACTAAAAGCTCAAGCAACTGAACGCAGATGTATGAAGAGAGCACTCACACAGCTGGATTGTTCATATTTTTGAAATTTAGTTATTACTCATTTTTTTTTGAAACCAGAGCACCAAACTAAAAGTTGGATTGTATGCCTCAGTTATTTTGAATGGGGTAGAATTTTTTATTCAAACTGAACTATAAATGCACACTGGAACATGTCTTTCTTTGTTATCTTCTCTGTAGCATTCAGTAAAATATTAATAGCTGTAATGCCACAACATGTTTCAGATAAGTAGGAGTAGTTTTCCTCAAGAAAAGCCTTTATTATTCTGTGTTTGTAACTTTTCTGTAACTAGTTGTTTTGTGTGACAGGTGGGAGATTCAAGAAGGAGATAGTAGTTGATGGACAGAGTTACCTGCTGCTGATTAGAGATGAAGGTGGTCCTCCTGAGGCACAGGTGAGCACACTGTTTAAGTGATATTAACAGAATGAAAAATTGGTGACAAATGCCACACCGTTATGCCAGAGTGTAAACTGGTGGAATCAGTGCTTGCTCAGTGCTGTCAAAATTTTAAAAAAAGTTCTTTCATAAGCTACACCCGAATCAGCCCTCATAGCCTGTTTCCCACTAAAAAGCCCCTGAATTTGCCAGTAGGAGCATAACCTCCAGCAGCAGAACCAGTCTAGTAATACTATAGGTTTGGATACGTTCAACTTTCCGCTCTGCAGATTAATGATCTGAAGAGCAGATATTATATGATTTTCTTAGCCATCCCAATGCTTCCCCCTGGGCCTGTTTGTCCTCTGCTTCTGCACCCTCTTTTTGTTGTTCAACTCTTTTCAAGTGTATTTTCAGGTGTGCACAGACACAAACGTGTCATAATAGCATACTAATTAAATACCCAATAAACATGAGAGAGAATGAGTATGAGTCATGTCCCATATTTTGGCATTGACCCTATTTAAGGAGCTTAAGATATCATAGAATTGTAGAGTTGGTACCCCAAGGGTCATCTAATCCAATCTCCTGTAATGCAGGAATCTATGACAGATGGCCACCCTACCTCTGCTTTAAAACATCCACCGTCTCCAAAGGGAGACCGTTCCACTGATGAACAGCTCTTCCTGTCAGAAAGTTATTTCTGATGTTCAGTCAGAATCTCCTTTCTTCTAACTTGAATCCATTGGTTCAAGTCCTACCCTCTAAAGCAGGAGAAAACAAGCTCGCTCCATCTTCCATGTGATAGCCCTTTAGATAGTTGAAGATGGCTATAATATCTCTTAGTCTCCTCTTTTCCAGGCTAAACATACCCAACTCCCTCATCGGTTCCTCATGAGACTTGGTTTCCAGACCCTTGATCATCTTGGTCGCCCTCCTTTGCACACATTCCAGTTTGTCAATATTGTACCCAGAATTGGACACAGTATTCCAGGTGTGCCCTGACCAAGGCGGAATAGAGTGGCTCTGTCACTTCCCTTGATCAGAACACCATACTTCTGTTGATGCAGCCTAGAATAGCATTAGCTTTTTTTTGCCGCTGCATCACACTGTTGTCTCATTTTTCAGCTTGTGGTCTACGACCCCTAAATCCTTTTCACATGTATTACTGGTAAGCCAGGTGTCCCCCATTTTATATTTGTGCAGATGGTTTTTTTCTGCCTAAGTGTAGAACCTTGCATTTGTCCCTGTTGAATTTCATTTTGTTAGTTTTGGCTCAGTTCTTCAATCTGTTAAAGTAATATTGAACCCCGATTCTGTCTTCTGTGACATTGGCCTCCACTCCCAGTTTGGTGTAATCTGCAAATTTGATGAGCATCCCCTCCACTCCTTTATCCAAGTTGTTTATAAAGATGTTGAACAACAATGGGCCCAGGAAGGAACCACTTGTCACTTTTCTCCAGGATGAGGTAGAACTGTTAGTGATCACTATTTGGGTTTGGTCAGTCAACCAGCTACAAATCTACCTAACAGCTATCCAGTCCACAATTTACCAGCTTCTCCACAATAAGATCACGGGGGACTTCATCAAACGCCATACTTAAATCAAGATACACTGCATCCACAGCATTCCTCTGATCTACCAAGCTCTAAATCTCAAACAATATGTGAAAGTTCATAATAGGGCCATTGTTTTAGCTGTTTTAACTGTTCATAATTTGTGTGGGTTTTTGTAGCTATTTGTTTTTGTTGAGGAAAGGGAGATGTGTCTTGGAGGAAAGGAGCTATGCAGGCTGTGAGGGGATTACAGTGGTTTGGGGTTAGGAGGAGCTATGAGTTGAGAGGTGGGCACATCACACAGGCAGTTAGTGACTATCTGAGGAACTGCAGTTGTTTTATCAGCCAGCCTTTGAACCTGAGGCAGCTGTTGTTGAATGCCTGTTCAGTTCTGAATAAGACTCATTCATGATCTGATGTATATCGCCGAGACCTGGGTGAGTGAGCAGAGTTCAGTTGGTCTCTCTCTCTTTTTCTCTCTTTCCAGTTGAGGGAAGGGATCTAGAGTATGTGTTTTTGGCACTGGTCAACTGGGTCAGATTACAGATTTTGTTGGTTTACCGCCTACCTCGCTGCCTAGCAGTCTCCCTATCTGAGCTGAGAGAACTGGTTTTGGAGGTGGTGTTGAGAATTCCCAGACTGCTAGTTCAAGGGGACTTCAACTGATGCCTTTGTTACATATCTTTAAGTGCCAGGCAAAATCATTCCTCTTCTCTCAGGCCTTTGACTGATTAAACAACTGATGGCCTTTCAAACTGTGTATGTGAGAGTGGTCATTGTTTTTGTTTGTTGTTAATGTATTTTTTTGTTTTTGGATTTATATTCTAAACTGCCATGTCATCTTCAGATAAAGGGTGGCTAAATAAATAAATGACAAGGACCTACAAATAAGGACAAAAAGCAGTATTGTAATTCCATCCCAAAATATAACGTATTTTTCGCCCTATAGGATGCACTGGCCCATAGGACGCACCTAGTTTTCAGGGGGGGGGAATCAAGGAAAAAATATGATTTCCCCCCCCCCCCTGCAGCTCTGGGAGCAGTGGACAGGCTGCACGCAGCCTGTGCGCTACTCCAAGACCTTCTCCCTGCTTTTGCGGGAGGTAGCGGAATTCCCCCACCACCCGCAAAAGCCCACAGGAGCCGTGTGCGACTCCTGCGGGCTTTTCAACCAGGAGGGAGAAGGGACTGAAACGGCCAGTCAGTCCCTTCTCCCTCCTCGGAGAAAAGCCCCCAAGGGCGGCGCGCTCTTTAAAGGGTGTGCGGCTCCTGTGGGCTTTTCTAGGAGGTGGGGGAATTCCCCCACCTCCTAGAAAAGCCTGCAGAAGCCGCGGAGCCCATTTAAAGAGCGCACGGCTTTTGCCTGCTTTTGCGGGAGGTGGGGGAATACCCCCATCTCCTGCAAAAGCCCGCAGGAGGGAGAAGGGACTGACTCGGCTAGTCAGTCCCTTCTCCCTCCTTGGGGAAAAGCCCCCAAGAGCAGCTCGCTCTTTAAAGGGTGCATGGCTCCTGTGGGCTTTTCTAGGAAGTGGGGGAATCCCCCCCCCGAAAAGCCAGCAGAAGCCGCGGAGCCCCTTTAAAGAGCGCGTGGCTTTTGCCTGCTTTTGCGGGAGGTGGGGGAATTCCCCCATCTCTCGCAAAAGCCCAAAGGAGGGTTGGAGAGTAGCGGGAAGGTGTTGTGCACCTTCCTGCTGCCCCCCATCCTCTGGGGCTGGCGATGGGGGAAGCGCTGCTTTTCCCACTGCCAGCCTCGAAGCCGGGTTGGAGAGTAGCGGCAAGGCGTCGCACGCCTTCCCGCTGCCCCCCATCCTCTGGGGCTGGCGATGGGGGAAGCGCTGCTTTCCCCACCGCCAGCCTCAAACCCGGGTTGGAGAGTAGCGGCAAGGCGTCGCGCGCCTTCCCACTGCCCCTCATTCTCTGGGGCTGGCGATGGGGGAAGCGCTGCTTTCCCCCACCGCCAGCCTCAAAGAGCAGACTCTCCTGGCTTCAGCGGAACCAACATGAAGCCTCCGGAGCGCAGGCTTCGGAGGCTTCGCGTTGCTATTGCTGAAGCCAAGGAGTGTGCATTCGCCCCATAAGACGCACACACATTTCCCCTTCATTTTTGGAGGGGGAAAAGTGCATCTTATAGGGCGAAAAATACGGTATGTTACGCTTATAAAATGCCAGATACATATGTCAAAAAACAGGATGTGAAAAATCCAGTTTATAACAGAATGGCATTTTAATACACAAAAACTGAGATTCTACATAGCAGCGTAATAAAAACACTTACACAGTAAACATCCAGTTTACTGGATGTTGACTATAATTATTCACTGCATTGCAGAAATATACTAAAAGTAACCAGTTATACTGTGGTGGACACCAGCCTTGACAAAGCATGGGTGTCACAATCGAATTGTGCATATCTATTGTTGCTTCAGTAAAAAAACCAAATCAAAACACTTGGGGGGGGCATTGAGAAGTTTTTTTTGTAAGCAAGGTGCTTTTTTGATTAGGAAATGTAATTAACCAAGAGTAGCTCTTTATGCGAGCTGGGTATTTATGGTTTGAGTTGTGTTAAAGATTGCCGAATGCATGCACCCTCAGCACATCATCTGATAACACAGTCTATAGTCCTGCTGGCTTCAGGGGTCAATAGGACTGAAACCTGCCTCCTCATCCATGAACTGAGGTCACCCTGTGATGCCAATTGATAAACAGTTTGGCATGGGTTGGGGAAAATCCCCCATCCCTGTCCTAAATCCTTGATACCTGAAATCAGCCACTGCATATCAGTATTTGCTATCACACTCCTAATAACAGAATGGTGTACATTCTAAAATGTCACTTGAATTATTTGACGTAAGTCCAAATACATACAGTAGGGGGTTGGTACCAACTGGTATATTACCCAGTCCAGCATATGCTAGTGTTTGGTTGTTGTTGTTTTTTTAAAAAATAATATTCTGTACTGATCCTGTGGAAGAATGCAGTGGACTGTTGCAGCACCATGGAGAGTTCCTACTAAGCTGTGCCTACTGATTTTAAACAATTGGTAGCATTTCTACTCCTGAAGAAGCTACCCTGGATCCTGGGATTTATAGCAGCTATTGCCCAGTCACAAATACAAGCTTCTTGGGTGAGTTGGTAGAAAGAGGGGTGGTACAGCAGTCACAGGAGATCCACTGGACTGGCAGGCTAGCGTAGTTCATGGAGTCTGGTGGAAACCACCTGGGAGTGCTCCGGTTTCAGATCTTAGGAGCACTGGTGTTTTGAGATCAGGTTCAGTGATTCCCCTGATTACTAGTATTGGTCAGAGCTAGGACTGGATCTGGCTCCTAGCAATAATTTTGAAAGAGAATGGGTTAAAGTTGAGGGGGGAAACTAGCTGTTGTTTGTTCTTCCTTACCTTTTCCCTTTCAGTAACACCTTCCTATCAACAGTGGTTGCTCTCAGATAAGCCAGTGAAATAATATTACAGGGTTAACAGGGATTTGATCAAAAGATCTGGCATAATTCCTAACTTTATCATGGTAGATAAATTTATTCCTCTGGGTTTGATGTAATTGCTAACCATTTATTTGTGATCTGTATGCATTATTCTATATCTAAAAATGAAATACATTCATGACTGTACTTAATGGAAATTTCAACTTTGAATGTATAGTATTGGTTAATTTATGGGATAGTGTTATTTCTTGGGGCATGAATCTATTCCTGATCTATCTTAAATACAGTGGTACCTCAGGTTAAGTATTTAATTCGTTCCGGAGGTCTGTTCTTAACCTGAAACTGTTCTTAACCTGAAGCACCACTTTAGCTAATGGGGCCTCCCGCTGTTGCCACGCCGCCAGAGCACGATTTCTGTTCTCATCCTGAAGCAAAGTTCTTAACCTGAAGCACTATTTCTGGGTTAGCGGAGTGTGGTATCCTTGTTTCTTACTGTACGTACATATGGACTGAGATCCAACAGCAGCGGGACAGGGCAGCACTTAGCTGTGCTCTCATCACCAGCACCACTGCAGCTTACCAGGAGGGGAGGCAGTGGGGAAGTTGGTGCAGTGCGATTGTGCCTGTACCCTGTGCCAGCCCCTCCTCCAACCAAAGGAACTGTGCTTCTCCTATCAGCCAGCCCTTAGGTCTGGGCTGCTGCATCTGCTGTTGAATGCCAGGTTGGTTCTGCATCACTGAGACCTGGGTGGGTAAGCAGGATGCAGTTGCTTTCACCTAGCCATGCCTACCTGGGTACATGGTACAGTATCAGGGCAGAGTTGAGGGTCAGGGCAGTTGCAGTGGTCTATAGAAATGCCATATATCTCTCCAGGCTGTCTGTCCAGTTGAGAGGGGGGATCAGAGTATGTGCTCCTGGCGTTGGGCAGTCAGGACACATTAGGGATTCTACTGGTTTACCTCTCACCTTGGTGCCCAGTAGTCTCCCAGCCTGCATTGACAGAGGTGGAGTTGAGGACTCCTAGACTGCTGGTTTAGGGGGACTTCCACTTCCAGTGGGTGCACCTGGTCCCCCTTCCTGTCTGACTTCCTTCAATAGAAAATGGTGTCCACATTGCTATGGCCTCTGTTCCTTGAGGGTTCCTATCGCTTACTCTCTTCCCGCCAGCCATTGCACTTCGCCTTCAGCTGTGACAAGATAAGCAGCGCTGGGTCCGTGTGTATGTGGCACAGGATTGGCTGCTCAAGACCCCCAAACGCTGCTCTGAGAAACCTAACTGGGATTGTCATGCAGAATTACAGGCATTTAGCCAACGGTTACATAAGGAGTTTTCACCAAAAAATCGCATAAAAATCAGGTATAAAAAGCTCAAGAATTTTGGGGTGTCCTGGTTTTTTACTTTTGGAAATATGGCAACCCTAGAAAAAGGTTCAAATCCCATTCAGCTCATTGGGTGACTTTGGGCTAGACACCATATTTAAGCCTGATCTACTTCACCAGGTTGTTGTGATGATACAAATGGGGAGAAGAACCATGGACACTATCTTGAGCTCCTTGGATGAAAGATGGGATATAGATGTAAAGAAGTGCTGCCTGCTAAATATCTCTCATGTTAAGAGTCTGGTGTTTTTAAAAATATCAACAAGAATTGTTTATCTATGTTCTTTTCCTGCAGTTTGCCACGTGGGTAGATGCTGTTATATTTGTCTTCAGCCTAGAGGATGAAATTAGCTTCCAAACCGTGTACCACCACTATAGCCGTATGGCAAACTATCGCAACACTAATGAAATCCCAATGGTACTTGTGGGTACTCAGGGTAAGTGTTGTCTCATGTGCCATATATCTTTCCTTGAAAAATACTTCATTTAATTGTTTGGCCCTTGTTCTTTTATTTTTATAAGTAAGTCTTTTGAGAGAACTTTGTTGATCTGTTTACCAATAGTACCTAGGAGATTTCTAATAGCATTCTAAGATTTTGTTTGTAAAACACCTTCTGCCTGGAGGCGGTTGGAGGATGGATGGCGGCTAATGGATTGAGGTTGAATCCTGACAAGACAAAAGTACTGTTCTTGGGGGACAGGGGGCAGGCTGGTGTGGAGGGCTCCCTGGTCCTGAATGGGGTAACGGTGCCCCTGAAGGACCAGATGTGCAGCCTGGAAGTCATTTTGGACTCACAGCTGTCCATGGAGGCGCAGGTCAATTCTGTGTCCAGGACAGCTGTCTTCCAGCTCCATCGGGTACACAGGCTGAGACCCTGCCTGTCCACGGACTGTCTTGCCAGAGTGGTGCATGCTCTGGTTATCTTCTACTTGGACTACTGCAATGCGCTCTACGTGGGGCTACCTTTGAAGGTGACCCGGAAACCACAACTAATTCAGAACGCAGCAGCTAGACTGGTGACTGGGAGCGGCCACCGAGACCACATAACACCGGTCCTGAAAGGCTGGGGAAACCCAGCCAGATGGGCGGGGTACAATAATAAATTATAATTATTATTACTTATTCAGAATATGTTTTATGTCTGGTTAGTGATGTTTAATTTCTGAGGACTGGGAGCATTTCTTATTTATTTATTTATTTATTTATTTATTTATTTATTTATTTATTTCTATACCGCTTTATAGTTTTAACAAAAATCTCAAAGCAGTTTACAGCATATTAAATCAATCAATCAATCAATCAATAAAACATTAGCTGGGCAATGTTCCTCTGGCCTCATGAGGAGACTCTTCAGTAGGGCTGGTGAGTGTGGGCCTCGCCCCCTAGGCCAGGTGGAGAGGGCCTTGCAGGCTGTGGCCTTCACACTCACAGCCGGGCGATGTTCCTCTGGCCTCATGAGGAGCCTCATTCTTCCTTTCTCTGTTTAGGACTTTAGGCAAAACAATATGTTTACCAGGTCTGGAACATCAAGATAAGCAGGGGTTTTTTTGATAGATGCAAATCCAAGATTTTCAAATTTCCAGTACCATTTAGTTGAATAAAATATATACAAGAAAGCTAATTTATAATTATATTTGCATTTGGCATTTCTGCATTATGGTACTATGCAATTATGTGTTTGCAATAGCATCGTATGTTGGGTTTTTCTTACCCCCTGTCACCATAGTAAATCCGCATAGAAGCTTTTGGCCACTATTTTGAAGCATATAAGAAGAACTCTCATTAGGTGCATGATTATTAGCTTAACTCTCTTGGATGTGATTTAATTTGCATCCTTGCTTAAAGCCTCAATAAAGCATATGTTATTTGAGATTGGCCAGTGTAATATACAGGATGTATTTTGTTTTGTTATTTATTTTTATTCTGAAATTTGATGGCAAATTGGATTTCTATAGACCTTGAAGATTTCAGTTCAGGTGCCAGATTAGAGCAAGATTCTATTTAGTGCATCCTAATGGCTTTGATCCCCAAATCCTACTGTGCTTTCTTGTACTTTTTCTTTTACTTTTACGGCAGTTACCCCTTCTAAGCCTGCATAGTCTCTCTGGAATTGATTTTGGGGGAGGTGAGAGGAACTTCAGATGGGTTATAGGCATCTCCCCCTCTCTGTTCAAGCAGAGTACGTTCTTGACTGAACCTTCAGTTTCAGACAGTGACCAACCACTTGGAAGCTCACAAGTGGAACAGAACCCGAGTGTCCGTTGCTTGTTTATAGCATTTGACAATGAAGGTGAATTTTCCACACTCGGGGCATATCTAAATATATTCCAATACATTAAATATTAAGTTTTGAGTAGTGCTTATTCTTGATTCTTTTACGTTGATTTTTAGACTGAGCTTGGTGTGAGGGAATGTGCTGCCCAGTAGCAGGAAAATGAATATACCCTTGTCAGTTCATGGAGTGCCAGAATTGTGGCTCATTGGGGCAAAATCTTACATTTTGGCATGCTCTTTGCTGCTTTAGAGCAGCTTTGAGAATTACCAAAAATATTGTGCAACCTGGTTCTTCCAGTTTCTTTTGATCTTCTTGACCTTTAGGCTAAGGCAAGAGTGAGCAATACCAGGCAACTTTTTAATCTTGATCTTGTTGTATTTAGACAATAGAGTTTGAAAGCTCCTTGTTTATAGAGGTGTCTTTGGAATCTTAATGAGCTCATAAAAAGTACATTCTTAGTTTAGATCGGGGTGTCCAAACTTTTTTCAAAGAGAGCCAGATTTGATGAAGTGAACATGCATGAGGGCCAACTATTTTGCCTGACATACTTTGAATCATTAAAATTAAATGCAAATTAACAATTTTATGCAAAGTTTATTGCAAACGGCATACCTTTCATTTCATCACATGGATGACAAATCTAAACAGGTGTTAAATCACTCTGCCTTTCATATCTGAAGGCCAGATGAAAAAAAAACCCCAGGAAGCTGAAATATATGTCAGGAACATTGTAAAGTACATTACATATTATTGGTAATAAAGGTTGTCTGTCAAGTTTTAAGTTCAAAAAATATGAACAGGAACATAACAGCAGGTATACATGTTGTGTCCAAATATATTTATATCTGATTTAGACCAACTGACATTAACTGAGATTTTACAATGTATTCATCTCAATTGGAAAAAAAGCAACAACTTGCCTGTACTAATGTGAAGGGTGAAGCTGAGATCTGGACTGCAGCAAATAGGCTAGGTCTGGTTCAAAGGCAGTGGTTTTGATTCGCAAAATGTCATGCAGGTGAGAGTCACTTAGTCTTGTCCTCACGCGGTTCTTGTTAAAGTTCATAGCAGAGAATGTCTTCTCACACAAATATGTTGAGCCAAACAAGCTCAGCATTTTCTTAGCCACTGTTCAAATCTCTTGAAACCAGCTCTTATCCAGTTGGCTTTAGAAGTTCACAAGAGAGAGCTGTTGGTGACGACTGCATAACTCGCTGTCACAATGCAGCTCAATGAACTCGAGCTGCAGCTGACCTGACCTGGAGCATCATTGGGGTCAACAGAGAATGGAGAGGAAGGAGAAAAGGCTGATCTCTTTTTCAATAGCAGCAAAATCCTGAAAGCGCCGTTTAAACTCCCCAGCCAGAGATGTCACGTCTGCTGCATACCTGGTTGGTTGTGCACTGCTACTGTCTTGTGGAAAACTGTTCATTATTTCCTGCAACGCTGAAAAATGTATGGTATTGGGCTGTGTTTGTGACAATTGCCTTTGGAAAAGTTGCAGTTTTGTTCCAAAGGCCTTGAGGTGTGAATAAAGCTGGTTCACCGCTGCATCTTTCCCCTGAAGACTCGTGTTCAGTACATTCAGATGCTTTGTTATGTCAACTAAAAACCCCAAATCAGCCAGCCAAATAGGATCAGATCGTTCTTGCATCGGTTGTCCCTTTGTTTCCAAGAATTCTCCAATTTTCTTTCTGAGAGAGTAAAACCCGACCCCCGACTGAGCCACCTTACATGTTTGTGATACAAAACATCTTCGTATTCAGCTGGAGGTGGCACAGGGCTTTAGAGCGAATAAAATTAATAGTCTTTAGCACTGGTTTCATAACATGATCATATTTGAGATTATTAGCACAGAGAACTTGTTGATGAATGATACAATGGAGTTTAATAGCTTTGCCTCCTTCTTTGATCTCCTTGTTACAGATTAGGGTTGATAATCCACTTCGTTCACCAGCCATGGCAGGTGCCCCATCACTAATAATCCCAGTAACTTTGTTCCAAGGCATTTTCATGTCATCTATGGTGGAACTAACAGAAACAAACAAACAAATATTTTCCCCTTGTTTGGTCCATAAGGCTCTGGAGGTCAAGTAACTCTTCAGTCACATTCATTTCATCGTCCACCCCTCTCATAACAATCAGCAGCTGAGCTGTGTCAGATAGGTCTGTGCTTTCATCACAGGCTATTGAAAAGAAGTCAAAATCCACTCTTGGACATCAATGGTCTCTTAATATCTGATGAAATATCTTCAATTCTCCGTGCTACAGTGTTACGAGCCAGGCAAACCCTTGCTTCCTCTCAGGACGGATATTCTCAACCATTTTCATAACACATTCTTTGATAAATTCACCCTCAGCAAAAGATTTGCAATTTTTAGCAATTAATGTTGCCACCTCATAGCTCGCCCTAGTGGCATTTTCATTTGACTAACGGGCTCTTGTGAAAAATCTCTGTTCTGACATTAAAACAGCTACACTTTTCACTGCTTTCATGCCCTGTTAGCTTGTCGTATGTGCTATGTCTCGACTGATAGTTTCTCTTGACATTAAATTCCTTATAAACAGCCACAGTCTCTTGATATATCAGACAAACACAGTGATTCCGTATTTCATTCAAGAAATATTCCACTTTCCACCTGTCCTAGAAGCGGCGGCCCTCACTGTCAACTTTCCTTCTCTTATTTACAGTCGCCATTTTAGAAATTGGCCAGAAGGGGAAGAGATCATGTGAGCGCAGTTCCAGTGCCAACAAGAATTCGCCAGAGATCTCTTCCAAATGAAGTTACACTGTAATGTACAGTGCTAAATGCTGGTGGGTCACAAGTGAGGGGTAGTTTCTGGAGGCAGTGTCTTGTAGCCTCATGTAATAAACCTTGATCTTTTTACTTTTAGCTTTATGCACTCTTCTGCACTATCGTCTATTGTCCCCTGTCCTGAATAAAGATGGAAAGTGCAGGTTTTCTTCAGTTGCAGCAAAGATGAATTGCCTGCCTTTGTGGCTGTGTGTGGTGAAGACACAGCGCAGGGAGAAGGAACGCAACAAATCCTGTGACGTCCAAGAGATTGTGAGAACACAGACGTGAGGACGTGCAGTCCCATGGCGTTGAAAGACCCAGAGATCCCAGGGGTCCTGAGAGGCACTCGGGGCTTCACTAGGGGCCACAACAGATAGATTTTGCCAAATTACCTGTGGGGCCATATTAAACAGGAACACTGGCCACAATTGGCCCGCGAGCCAGTCTTTGGACATGACTGGTTTAGATTAATAATGTGTAGATTACAATTTAGTTGATTAAAGTGGTTGTGCCAAATATTTACGTAATAGTGGTTCTATTCAGATGAAATAGTTGAATTAATAAAATCTTCACTAGATAGATAGTGAAAATATAGATTCTTTTAAAATTGCAACTGGATCCTTTGTCTAATTTCTTCTTGGTTCATCTCAGCTATAAGTTTGAGTTATATCTAAAACCCTGCAAGAGGGACCATCTGAGGAAAAATGAGCTCTTCCAGTTGATACCCTTTATGACATAGAAGCAAACGGGGCTCCTATATAGGAATGCTTCATCTTGGATAATTTCATTCTGTAAACGACCTACACTTAGCCTCAAAAGCAAAAGGATTATGTCAAACCAAAATGAATTATTCTAGCTTGCTGCATTGTAAAGATTGGGAATGGATTCAAAGTACACAAACAAATATGTGCTGCAGTCTGTCATTTTACTACCAATACATAGGGTGGATCTACGAACAGGGGATAAAAATGCTATGGAAAATCTCATAGAAATTTTACTCTGTAGCGCCATCTGGTGTTGCATGTTCAAAACACTGTTTTTTGACTAATGTAATTGAGTCCATAATCCTGAATAGTAGTATCATAAATATTTTTAGGGGGGAAATTCAGTCAGCCTCTTGACTGGATTTGAAAAATTGCATTTTGTTTAGGCAAGATCTTATTAGCATGTAGGGAGGGTAGCAAATATGTTGAATTCGGGATCAGAGGATTAGAAATGACTTTGTGTTTGTTGTCATAAGAGCTTCAACAACTCCCATTCTGCACAGCAAAAAGCGAAGTTTCTAGAGTTTTGCAAGGCTATTGATGTCTCCTTTCTTCAAATATGAATAAGTCTGTTCTGAAAAGTGCAGTTCCCAAGCACAGCCTTCATGAGAGGGGAGTGACAAGAATTCTACTCAATACTGATCCAGAGCAAAACTTCAACATATAGTTAGAGTAAAAACTTAAACACGTTGCAGGATTCCCAAAAAATAGACCAGAGGCAATTGTATTTCATGCAGCAGAGTTTACTGCTGCTACTGAAGGTAAATGAGCATAGTGGTCACAAATCCATACATTCAAGATTGGCACTGTCCATAAGAAATCCAGTTGCAGCAGACTTAACCTAAACTTACAATAACTTATAATAAGACTTAAACCTTAACACTTAAGCATACTATGTACACAACACCACACCAAAGGGGAAGAGAGATAGAAAAGTAAAACTCAGGCACTTTCTGACCTGTTATTATAGTCAGCATGACCTTGTCTGAAAGAGATGACAGAACCACTCCAAATCAGCTGTTCAGATTCTCCAAAGGAATAACTCAAACATCAGGAACCTTCTGCCTGTTTTTAGGCAGAATAAAAACTTGCTTGTTGGCTAGGAACCTCCAGTCTGCATTACCTTGTATCACACAGAGAAGCTTCCAGAACCCTCCTGAATCAATTAGAATAGGAAAGATCTCTACACATTAGATCAACTTTTCTCTCCAAAAAATGCACACTGACAAGGAAATTCATGAAGCCGTAGTGTGAGTTTCTAATATGGATGTGCCCCAACCACAGGACTTGGTTCAAGCCTCCAATCAGCTCCGCAGGAAGCAGCCCACCTCATTCTGTTGTGCTTCATAGGTCCTCCCCCCATTCATTACTGGGTGATCAAAGAACAGCTATAAATTGTTTACTTTTGGCAGAAATGGGTGAAATTTGCAGGAATAGTAGGCCCTCTCCTAGGAGTGAATAGTTCCTGTGATAGTTCCTGTAAAATTAAAGGCAAATAGGTAGAGGGACTTCTGTGTGGACTCATTAAGTTTTTATTTTTAAAATACCCAGGAAACATTTTAAATTTCATTTTATTTTAGTATGTGCTTATCTGCAGATTTCTTTTAAAAAATCGGAATAATCTCTGCTTCAACTGATTCAGCTTTGTACGGATCTCACTTTACCTCAGTTTGAATAAGCCTAAAATCCCTCTAGGCACCTTGACTTGGAATTTGTTCAAATGTGACGAACACCCCTAGTTTCTACAATGTTTTTTCTTTTTTTAAGCATCCAGTTGATTTGGACACAAGATTCCCAAAAGACAGCAAGGTTAGCTTTGCATATTGCTTACAAAAACTCAGAAGACCCACATGACCTGTAATTCTCCTTGCTATTCTTGGAGTAATGCCAAAGCTGCCTCCATGTGGGGAGCATTGATATCTCCCAGCAGGACGGGAATTACAGATTTTTCCTTCTAGGGATAACTCTTTGATCTTGAGCTTCCTCTGTGGCTTCTGCTGATAATGTACAAAGCCTCTTGAGAGTATTTCTCCCCCTGCACTATGCAGGCTGTTTGCTGTCTAATCACAATGCTGAAACCCCTTGCTTTAATTTATGAAATGTGTGTATTTATACCCCCCCCCCACGGTAATAATAAAACAAATTATTAATGCTCAGTTTCCTCTTAAGCTACTAGAATTCATGATTGATGAGCTTTTGAAACCAGATCAAGTATTCCACTTATTTGTAATCTAGCTGTAATATTCACACTTTAGGTGTATGTTGTCCTTGAAGGCCACAGTTCTAAATTATTCTACATTTCTATGGGGATGCAAACTTTTTTTCTGCCCACAAAAGTCCCAGTTTATTTACCAACCCTATTGGATTCTGTCCAATTATGAGAAACACATGGGGTTGAAAGGAAGAAATGAATGAACTTGTGCTGGCCGCAGACAGTAGTTCTTTTAAAATGGTACATGGGAATAGTTTAAGGTTGTTGTGATAAATATGAACAAAATAATGTTTAAGCCTCCTAGTGTGCATGGCTCAAGACACTGGTCCAAATGCTAGGTGCTTATGCATTTAATTCCATAATTCCTATACCTCAGAACAGGAATTCAAAAATAATTTTAAAGTAGAAGTGAAACTGTCTAAAGAGTACTCTCAGAAAACTCTGTTTAAAATTTTGTATCTTGTTTTTGTATTTGATGAAAAAATTACCCAACTGTTTTCTTTGTAGATGCTATAAGTTCCAGTAATCCCCGTGTCATTGACGATGGTAGAGCGCGGAAACTGTCGAATGATTTGAAAAGATCTACCTACTATGAAACTTGTGCTACCTATGGGCTGAATGTGGAGAGAGTCTTTCAGGATGGTAAATAATTTTTCCTACATAGTATCATGGAGTACCTAATTCAAATTTATCTTACCCTCCCCACCCTCTCACTATATATAAGGGTCTGGTGACTTCTGTTTCAGTGTATCTGAAGAAGTGTGCATGCACACGAAAGCTCATACCAAGAACAAACTTAGTTGGCCTCTTAGGTGCTACTGGAAGGAATTTTTTTATTAATTGAATCAAGTTGTGTAAAAAATAGATATTGAGTCATACTGTAGATCTATAAACATGTGTCTGGGCTCTACCACTTCAGACTGTGGAGGCTTTCATGGTTGAATGATATGTCATGCAAACATTTTCCCTGCACATAAAAACAACATCTAGACGTCAAAGAGAAGGTCAAGGGAGACCATTTTTCTCTCACATCTAGTTTTCTATGTGGTGAGGATTATTTTGTATGGAAGAGCACTTAGTCATGTGCCCACAGACTGCAGTGGTATAGCTTGCATGCTTCACTGGTGCCTCTGGCTCACTTCTTTCAGGACAATCTGCTTACTATTGATGCAGATGCTGTCCAACCCAGGAGCAGCACATCCTGTTTTGCCACCTGAGGTGAAACAGGAACGTGCTGCCGCCACCGCCTCTCTTACCTCGGATGCGTGGTGATGCCTATGAAGTGGGTATTTCCAGTGAGATCTTTCTCTTACCAGAAACTAGCGTCAGTTCCAGTGCCACTTCTTCTGCCCAAGGGAGCTGCTTCATCCCACCTCATGGGTGGTCCGGCCCTGTTGCCACCCATAGCATTTTACAAGTTTTGAAATCAAGCACGTTAACTATATTGTAGAGTACTATATATGAAATCTAATATGTTGAGTGCTTAAGAATCATTATCAGGTGTTACTCCATCCAACTCTCATGTGTCTCAGTTCTCTGGACCAGGGGTCAGCAAGGTTTACTGGCCATGGGCCGGATCACTCCCACAGAGATCGTCTGTAGAGCAGTGTGATACCGGAAATCGCGTCTGCACATGTCCGCGATGCTGAAAATTGTTTCTGCGCATGCCCAGACGCTGAAAATCGTGCCTGCACAGAAGCAATTTTCAGCATCTGGACATGCGCAGACGTGATCTGCGTGTGTGCAGACGCGATTTTCGGTACCGCTTGAGTTTCTGCACCGTGCCGCACCGGTTTAGCGCAGTGCGTGGGGGACTCACGGAGCGGGCAGCTCGGTTCAGGGGCGGCTCGTGGGCCAGTAAAACAGTCTTCATGGGCCGCATCCAGCCCATGGGCCGCACGTTGCCGACCCCTGCTCTAGACACTGTCAGGGATATTGACTTAAGGTCAAACTGTTGCCCACTCACCAAACACTCCTGTATAAGCTTAGCAGTCCTGAAATAAGATCAGAGGTCCTGTTGTGGATTGGTAACTGGTTAAGAAACAGGAAATAGAGAGTAGGAATAAGTGGACAGTTTTCCCAAAGGAGGGTTGTAGACAGTGGAGTCTCACGAGGATTGGTATGGGAAGTAGTGCTTTTAAACTTCTTCATAAAGAGTCTAGAGTTAGGGGTCAACAGAGAGGGAGCCAAGTCTGTTGTGCAGTTTATGGCTAGCAAGTGTAAAGTTCGGTACATTGAGGCAAAAGGCATATATCTTCATTGGGTCTGAACTGGTGGTGAGTAACCAAGAAAGATACCTAGTGGGTTTTGTGGATAGCTTGCTGAAGATGTTCATCCAGTATGTGGCAGATTTGAAAAAGATGAACGCCATGCTAGGGATCATTAGGAAATGGATAGGAAATAGAACTTCCATTATTGGGCAAGGTTATTGAGCTGAACAACTCCAGGCATGCCTGGAGGATGTGGACCATTTGGATCCCTTCCAGTCGGGATTCAGGCCTCATCATGGGACTGAAACTGCCTTGGTTGCGTTGGTTGATGATCTCCAGCAGGCTAGGGACAAAGGTGAAAGTTTTGGTCCTGCTGGATCTCTCAGCGGCCTTGGACACCACAGACCATGACATCCTTCTGGACTGTTTAGGGGAGCTGGGGGCACTGTTATACAGTGGTTCCGCTCCTTTCTTCTGGCCTGTGTCCAGAAAGTGGTGTTGGGGGATGAGTGTTCAGACCCCTGGGCGCTCACTTGTGGGGTGCCTCAGGGCTCCATCCTCTTCTCAGTGATTTCCAACATCTATATGAAGCCTCTGGGAGATACCATCAGAGGGTTTGGGCTGGGTGTTCATCAGTATGTGGATGATACCCAGCTCTACCTCTCCTTTAAATCAGAACCAGTGAAGGTGGTGAATGTCCTTTGTGTCTTGAGGCGGTTGGAGGATGGATGGTGGCTAACAGATTGAGGTTGAATCCTGACAAGAGAGAAGTACTGTTTTAGAGGGATTGGGTGGGTGGATGTGGGGGTTCCCTGGCCCTGAATGGGGTAACTGTGCCCCTGAAGGACCAGATGTGCAGCCTGGGAGTCATTTTGGACTCACAGCTGTCCATAGAGGTGCAGGTTAATTCTGTGTCCAGGGCAGCTCCATCTGGTACTCTGGCTGAGACCCTACCTGCCTGTGCACTGTCTCGCCAGAGTGGTGCATGCTCTGGTTATCTCCTGCTTGGACTACTGCTCTATGTGGGGCTACCTTTGAAGCTGACTCAGAAACTGCAATTAATCCAGAATGCGGCACCTAGACCGGTGACCGGGAGTGGCCGACAGGACCATATAACATCGGTTCCCAGTACATTTCCAAGCACAATTCAGAGTGTTGGTGCTGACCTTTAAAGCCCTAAACAGCCTTGGTACTGTATACCTGAACAAGCATCTCCACCCCCATCGTTCAGCCCCGACAATGCGGTTCAGCTCCGAGGGCCTTCTTGTGGTTTCCTCACTGTGAGAAGTGAGGTTACAGGGAACCAGGCAGAGGGCCTTTTCAGTAGTGGTGCCCACCCTGTGGAACGCCCTCCCTTCAGATGTCAAGGAAATAAACAGCTATCGGACTTTTAGAAGACATCTGAAGGCAGCCCTGTATCAGGAAGCTTTTAATGTTTGATGTTTTATCATGTTTTTACTATTCTGCTGGGAGCCACCTAGAGTGACTGGGGAAACCCAGCCAGATGGGTGGGGTATAAATAGTAAAATTATTATTACTATTATAACTGCCAATATCATAATGTTATATAAAACTTTGATGTAACCACATTTGGAATGCTGTGTACAGTCCTGGTCATCTCACCTCAAATAGAGTAGGGTGAGAAAAGGTTTAGAAAACGACAACCCAAATGATCAGTGGGATGGAGCGACTCCCGTATGAAGAGTAGTTGCGGCATCTGGGACTTTCCAGTTTAGAGAAAAGGCAAGTAAGAAGTTACATGATGGAAGTTTATGCAGGGCATGGTGAAAAGTCTTTATTACCTTTTTCATAACACTCTGACTCAGAGACATCCAGTGAGGCTAAGGATTGAAAGATTCAGTAGACAAAAGAAAGTAACCCTCCACACAACACAAAAACCATGCATCGTGCGCCTGTAGGAGGCCTTAATGGTCATCACCTTGGATGGCTTTAATAGGGGATTGGATGAATTCATGAAGGATGAGACTATCAGTGGATATCATCCATGCTGGCTTGTTAATGCCTCCACTATCAGAGACAGTGTGCCTCTGAATAATAGCCCCTTTGGGAACATACTTGTTGATGAGAAGCCGATTATCTGTTTTTGTACAGTCAAACCTTGGTTCCTGAATGACTTAGTTGCCAAACAAATCAGCTCCCGAACGCCGCATGCCCGGAAGTAAGTGTTCCGGTTTGTGAACGTTTTTTGGAAGCTGTACGTCCGTCGTGGCTTCCGCTTGAGTGCGGGAAGCTCCTGCAGCCAATTAGAAGCCACGCCTTGGTTTTCGAATGGTTTTAGGAGTTGAACGGACTCTCGGAACAGATTAAGATCAAGAACCAAGGTACCACTGCATTTCCAAAGTGGGAATCCCAGAGCACAAGCATCAATAACACCCTCATAATTTGCTTCTCGGATCCTGCCTTTGTGTACTAAAGTCTTACATTATTTTAAAAGTGAATTTTGCTACTTACATCATTTTATTATGATGCTTGTTTTGAAGTGCTCCCCAGACTAAAGATGTTAGATAAATTAGACTGAAAAAACTTTTATATGGCCACTCTTAAATCTAAACACTTTCCTGCCTTCCAGAAACAGCTGTTTTCCTCATTTTTACTTGCATGCAGCCTGAAGAAGAGCTCTGTGCAACCCAAAAGCTCACATACCACATTATGAATTTTCATCCCGATAACACATTATTTTACTACTTTTGTACGGTTTTTGATATTCTTCAGAAACATAATCTTGCAAGCTGGATTTTTGTATTCACTGAAAATATTTACTACTCAACCACTCTTGCCAACTTATCATCAGGCTAGTTAAAGAAAGAAAGAAAAGTTATTGTACTATACTAATTCCAAGCAGTATGGCTCTTTTTCTTTAGGTTTTGATAGATAGGATGCCCTAGTGGTGCAGTGAGTCTGGCTGTTAACCAGAAAGTTGGTGGTTTGAGCCCACCCAGGGATGGCTGTGGGCAGGATTCCTTCAATGCAGGAGTTTAGACTAGATGACCCTCAGAGTTCCTTCCAACTCTACAATCCTGTGAGTCTATGAACCCTGAAGCAGGGTGGCAGGCATCTAAGTTGGTTATGCAATGAAGCAAATGCATTCTATACACATTCAGAGGCTCTTTTCCCTGCTTGAAAAAGACCTTGGGGTGGTGCTGATTATTCACTGCGTAGAGGACAAAGTATATATTCCAAAGCATGCACAGGCACACCCACAAAAATGGAGGTATGTGCTGAAGGAACAACATACAGTGCACTCCCACTACAGCTTCACAGACTTCAGCATTTACCTGCCACCACTGTTCCAGATGACTGGGTCAACAGATGATAGGTACAGCATGGAATCTGTTTGGTAAAACAGTTTTATAGCAGCACCTGTCCTGCACACATGCCTTATGCATTGGACTTGGGAAATAATCGGGACAA